TTATATATATAAAATAAAATTAGAAAAGTAATAATATTTTTTTTAAATTGCATATAAAATTCTTTATATATTCAATTTGCTTAAAATAAGGTTGTTATTATTGGCTATCAAACCATTTTGATATGATAATAATTAGAAAGTAAAAGTATTTTATTGAAACAAGTCATCAGAAAATGGAAAAAACCTATATTTCAAAAGACAGATATCTTGGGTGAGGAGTGTAGAAAAATAAAATAATAATAAATAAAATAACTTTTTCAAATGGTTACTTAAATACCAAACTTTTTAATTTCTTCAATCCTTTTTTTAGCTTTAGCCTGGGTGATATTGCTATTTCCATTCAAATATATTTGTTTGCATTCAAAATGCTTTTTAAATTTGGCAATATTTAATATATAATCTAATGCTTTTTCAGTTAATGTGTTGGATTGTAGATGCAATGCTGTAACACTGTAAAATATACTTAACCTCAATACCTAGATTCTTCAATAACTGAGAGTAACTTAGCAAAAAGATCATCTGTAATTTTACATTTACTCATTTTTAAGACTTTGACAATTTTTTTATTTTTTAGTGCTTCATCTATAGCTAAAATCAATTGTTCTGTCACATCTAAGATAGTTTAATTTTTACCAATAGTAGAAAAGTCAATCATTTCAAATTTTTCAAACATGGCAAGAGTATTAATAATTTTATCATGAATTTTTGGATCTTTGTTGAATTTTTAGACTTTTACAAATTTGGATGATGATAACTTATTTCTGTTAGTGTTTGGAGCAGTGATTTCAGAAGGTTCAGTTTATAACAAAGTGACACTTCTATCTTTTCTTTAGAATTATCCTGGTGTTGATTAGCTAAAAAAGTTAGATTTTGCAACATTATATTGAGGAGATGCTGGTTGTGTAGGTTATTAGGAATTTTACATGGATTGAGTGAATTTTTCATCTTTGAAATCCTAATAGATTATATCTGATTCTGTTAATTTATCTTCTTTATCCAATAATAATAATTAATCTTGTAGTTTATTTTCATGAGGAAATTGATTTTTGATGTTTTCAATAGGAATAAAAAAGTGTTATTAATCAGAGATTAATTTGACAAGAATGTCAATTTAAGAAAATTAGTTTTAGATTTTGGTAATTAATTATGAGCCATGTTCTTTACTATTGCCTAATTCTTTAGCATCCATTTTTAGTTTTTGATTTTAACTTTTTTCAACAAAGAAATCATTCAATTAATTACCAGTATATGATAGCCATTTATCTGCTTGATCTTTAAGTTGAGTAAACTCTGATTCAATTTTTCTCTTGTTATCATCATATAAGAGATTGTAATTATTAGAAATTTTAGATTTGAATTCTTCTTTAATAAAATTTAATTCATTAAATAGTTCATCAAACTTGATATCTATAGATTATAATTTAGAATCTTTAGACTAGAGTATTTTGTTTTCAAATTCTGAAACATAAGTTTTTGAATCAATTTTAGAACTCATTTCTTTAACAACCTCATATATAGTAGTAATATCATAAAATGTTTATTCCATTTCTTTGACGTAGATATCAATAGGCTTGTAATTGTGAAACTTATGATTTCCAAATAGAGCACAATTAACACATATATATTCTCCATCTTCTTAACAAACTAATTCTAATGGTTTTGAATGAATTGGACATAAATCTCCTTAGTTATCTTTTATAGGCAATATTTCGCATGAATGTGATTGAGAGATATTCTTATTAAGGTGGATATTTAATTGGGTTTCTCCTGAAAATTCACTAACATCTTCAACTGATATTCTAGGAATAGCATCTTCTGGAGTTACATAGGTATGAGATCTTTGAACAGTCCTATTTTTTTTCAATAAGACTATAATGCTTTGATTAATTGGAAAGAATTTGAATTCTCTATCAACTTGACATTCAATGCTTAATTTAAATAGTAATTGAATATACTTGTCTTCATTGCAAACCAACTTTAATTGCGATGAGAAATATTGAGTTACGCATAACTAACATATTGAATGACCACAGGATGGAAGGACATGCGGACTTCTATCGTGTAAATTAAACTCTTGTTAACATTAACAACATTAAAATTCTTTATCCATATAAAATCAATTTATTCTAAAGAGATTGTTTTTGCTAATTGTTATTTTATCTGCAGGCAATCTCTTGATCTCTTCTTTTTTAGCACTCATAGATCGATTCTTACTTTGAGTTACTTTTAGTTTCATCAAATATTATTCCTCAGCCTCCTCTAATTCTGTTACTCTCATTTATCTTTCTTTAAATTATTATGCTTCTTTTATAATCTTCTATTTATAATTATATTATCCTTCTTATTATTTCTAGAATCAATTATTATAATACTATTTATAATTAGACAATCTTGTCTTATTAATGTTTTAGATGAGCTTATCTGATGAGCTTGTGAGATTTGCAATTAGTCCCATATATTTCATTCCAAGTTTATAATTTAGCTTAAGAGAGATTCATTTTATATTCCTTATTTAAGAAAGAGTGAGTTTCAGAATATACTTGTTTCTCTAAGAAATACATTTATATTCTTACAGTTTTCAACATTCTTGCTCCTTTTTATTCTCTCAATCTTTGACATATTGGCTCTTTAAGAATATTCCTCTAGTTTCTTTTATTTTATCTCTTCTAAGAATTACTAATGATAATTAATATGTTTTATAAATGTACCTTCCTCATTTAGTCTTCATTAACTCTAGATTTTGTAGAAATTATAGATTAGATTTCATTACTTGTTCTAGAAATATTCCTTTAGCAAACCACATCTTAGTGTTAAATATGATTCAATCGAGACTTAAGTAATTTTATGTTATCATCCTGCTATCGGTTTATTTTACGAACTTAATTAAGTTTCATATCCAGTAGCTCTCTCATACTATTGATTGCACTCTTACCCTACATCATTATAATTTATGTTTTAAGATGGAGACTAGGTCGCGCTTGTGGGCATATTACCCTAAGAATAAAGGATTCGGTTTAATTTTGGGTACATTAATATTTATTTATTTTATTTCTAAACTCAACTACAACTCCTTTCTCTTATGACTCAAGTTTCTCTTTCTGATTAACTTAACTAACTCATTTTTTTTCTTTCTCATTTTCCTTATATAAAATTTATTAACAAAGTTTTCATATCTTATACTCAAAGTTTATCAATTTATTTTACAATATATCCAGAAAAACCTTTACTATATGCTTATTTCAATTTAATTTCTTTTCTATTCCTTATCCTCTAAATTTAAACCGTGCTTTTTCTCCTTTCATATAAAAATATTATATTTTAACTATGATATCTTTATATATTTTGGCTTATTAAATTCAATTAGCAAAAATGAATTTTTAAAAACAGTTTCCAAATTTTATAAAATTCTATACTTATTCATTTTTGATATTTAGAATTTAAAGAACAAGATTGATAATCTTTATCAATCAAAATCATTACAAATACCTTTTACTTAATAATTTATATTTAATCAACTATAAAAATAAATTTCAATCTATTTTTTATTTCTTCTTTTGCAATTAAACATTTTTCTAAACATTATTTTTATGGTAACGGGATTTAAAATGTTATTCTATTTCAAAAGGCCCATTCATTATTTTATTGCACAATTCACAAACTTCTTTTTTCCAATTTGTTCTTGATTTTAATTTTTACGTTTATTGATATTTTTTTATCATCTCAGGAGTTATTATACTAATGAAATTTAAATTTTAGAAATTAATGTTTAATTTCTCTTGTCCTAATTTTTCTTCTAAATATAATTAACAAAACAAACTATAAATTTTTTATGCTGGTACTATAACTTATTCTTTAAAAGTTTAATCAGATTCAAATTCTAATTAAAATAACCTATTCGCTATAATATCAATTTTTGAATTGCAAAGCATTCTATTTTTAATCCATTAGATTTATCTCTTAGTATATGCCATTGTATCATCAATTAATTTTTCAGCTCCTTCTTTTAACAATTCTTAAAACTTTTCATCTACATATGGAAATTATAATCCTGATTATTTATAATATTCATAAACTTTATCAAATTATCTATATCCAATGCTTTATAACACTCCTCCAATTTGATTCTTTTTATTCTCTAATCTTTCAAAAATTTTTAATATTTCTTCAGTGCCTCCTTAATGAAGCATTTGATGAATTCGTTCAGTTACTTTTATCTTTAAATCTTCCTTTTTTTTCCATTTTGGCCATAATATTAGGAAGTTATTACTTCTTAATTAACATTAATCAGAATGATGATCTAATTATTCAGAGGGTAATTAGCCTGTATTAAAATAATATTTAATTGAATTATTAATCCTTCTATGATCATTAGGATGAAATTTTTCAGCAGCTAAAGGATCAATCTGTTTTAAATATTCGTATGGTTCTTTGCCATTTAAATTTAATTCAGCTGCCTATACTACTTATTATTCTTCTTTTTCTTAATTAAATAATATTGATTCAATATAATAATTAGTTCCTCCTACCAACACTGGAATTTTACCCTTAGATTATAATTATTCAATTTTTTAGATTGTCACTAAAATTTAGCTTATAAAAGATTTTACTATTTTTCCATTGCTTACGATTAAAACCTTCTGATTCTAAATCTATCAAATCAATCCCATGATGCTTTTTAAACATCTATTCTGCAGCTGTAGCTTTTGCAGTCATAATATTTGCATCTTTGTATATTTACATTGAATCACAAGAGATGATCTCATAATTATCTATTCCTAAGTTCAAGGATAAATTTGTCTTTCCTGATGCTGTTGTACCAATAATATACACAATAAAGCCATTATTATTCATTAAATAGTTTTATGAAAAAAATTAAAATCAATTGAGGTTTTATNGTTTAATTTCTCTTGTCCTAATTTTTCTTCTAAATATAATTAACAAAACAAACTATAAATTTTTTATGCTGGTACTATAACTTATTCTTTAAAAGTTTAATCAGATTCAAATTCTAATTAAAATAACCTATTCGCTATAATATCAATTTTTGAATTGCAAAGCATTCTATTTTTAATCCATTAGATTTATCTCTTAGTATATGCCATTGTATCATCAATTAATTTTTCAGCTCCTTCTTTTAACAATTCTTAAAACTTTTCATCTACATATGGAAATTATAATCCTGATTATTTATAATATTCATAAACTTTATCAAATTATCTATATCCAATGCTTTATAACACTCCTCCAATTTGATTCTTTTTATTCTCTAATCTTTCAAAAATTTTTAATATTTCTTCAGTGCCTCCTTAATGAAGCATTTGATGAATTCGTTCAGTTACTTTTATCTTTAAATCTTCCTTTTTTTTCCATTTTGGCCATAATATTAGGAAGTTATTACTTCTTAATTAACATTAATCAGAATGATGATCTAATTATTCAGAGGGTAATTAGCCTGTATTAAAATAATATTTAATTGAATTATTAATCCTTCTATGATCATTAGGATGAAATTTTTCAGCAGCTAAAGGATCAATCTGTTTTAAATATTCGTATGGTTCTTTGCCATTTAAATTTAATTCAGCTGCCTATACTACTTATTATTCTTCTTTTTCTTAATTAAATAATATTGATTCAATATAATAATTAGTTCCTCCTACCAACACTGGAATTTTACCCTTAGATTATAATTATTCAATTTTTTAGATTGTCACTAAAATTTAGCTTATAAAAGATTTTACTATTTTTCCATTGCTTACGATTAAAACCTTCTGATTCTAAATCTATCAAATCAATCCCATGATGCTTTTTAAACATCTATTCTGCAGCTGTAGCTTTTGCAGTCATAATATTTGCATCTTTGTATATTTACATTGAATCACAAGAGATGATCTCATAATTATCTATTCCTAAGTTCAAGGATAAATTTGTCTTTCCTGATGCTGTTGTACCAATAATATACACAATAAAGCCATTATTATTCATTAAATAGTTTTATGAAAAAAATTAAAATCAATTGAGGTTTTATATCATTTAGCAAAATAATTAATATAATTTTGTTTCTAATAATCCTGCTAATCTTTATAACGATTGTGAAAAGAAAATCAACAAAGAAATAAAATTGATAATAACTAATTGATAGAAAATCTTCTGAATTAAGTATCCATGCCTTAGATTGTGGAAATTACATGGAATCTATATCCTATGTGGAATCAAATGGTAATTAAAACTAATTAATTTAAATTATTATTATAAATTTTTTATTGTTGAAACAATAAAACTTATAAAATTAAGTCAAAAGGATTCATATTATTAAAGATCCTTACATAAAAATAAAATAAACTCATGAAATAGTAATTTATCTGACCTAGAGAAAAGTATTTAATTTAGCTTATTATCTTCAATTATTGATTTACCAGAAATTGATAATTCGATTTAATACAAATTAAGCATCATAAGCTGTAATAGCGAATGATTGGAAAATGTAAAGTGATTAAAATGATTTGCAATCAAAGTAATAAATGGATTTAAAATAATATCAAAGTAGAGATTAAAAATAATAGAATAGAAAGTTAAAGAGAGTGAAAAGATTATAATTAAAGGGAGACAAAAAAGAATGAATTAGAGAGAGAATTAATGAATCTCAAAAATGGAGATACAAATTAATGAGTTTAATAATTTAAAAACTTTCAAATATTATTTAGTAATTAGAGTTGAAATAGCATTGCAAAAGGTTAATGATATTAAGATCAATAATATTGGTAAGAAGTTTTTTATTGATTTTTTAAATTACAATGAGAAAGTTACAAAGAAATAGGTTACTTTAAAAGTAATAAATAAGATTGATGATCTTATATGTATTTAATGTTAAGTTCAAAAAAAATCATTCTTGAAATTATTCATGATCTTTATTTTAAGCTCTGTCAACTTTGGCAGAGTTAAGAGATAAGATTTTCTCTTCTTGTTTTGGAAGAGGCGGAAGAGCTTTTGGATCATAAGGCCACTTTTCAATAATTTCTTAAGGATTATTCAAATAACTACCCTATCCAAATAGAAGTTTGAATCCATAGAATTTACCCTAGAATATTAATGAAAGAAAATACATAGAATAAAGGATGGGACTAATCTTTAATTAGATTTAGGTAGAAGGCATTCGGGATGGCATGCTTAACGGCCATAATTTATTCATCAGGTCCTTTGATAGTCAAAACATAAGCTCTAGCTTTTCCAGGAGTGTAAGCAAAATAGACAAATGTCCATTAATAAGGAATGAGTTTGAAAGTATGGGTGACAGGTTAAAAAGTAGGATCTTTGAGTGTATAAGTACTTGCAATAATTTCATCTGTTTTGGTGAATAAAGCAAGAGTTCTATCTCCAATATATCTTTCATCAGATCCTTCATTATTGGTAGACAACCTAACAAGACCTCTGTATTAATCAGTTAATTCAGGAGTAAGAACAGCATTTTACATCCAGAAGCCATAAGAGTATTCAAGCAAGCCTTGTTTATTTAGGAAGGAGAATGAAAATTTATCCTTTTTTTCATTAACATCATCTTGAAATGTAGTATCAATCATTTGAACAGGCCATTTGAAGTCTTCAGAATCAAGTGATTGAACAGGTAATTTACGATGTAATTTGAGTACCATATCTACAACTTTTTGACTTTCACTGATGAATGCTCCTTAACCAAGGAATATTCTAGGATCAAAGAGCCAACCATGGAATCCTTGGAATCCAAATTCTTTAGCTCCTAATACAAATTTAGCATAACCAGTTAATGCTCTATGTTAGACTTATAATTCAACATGTTATGCTTTAGATTATTCTCTAAATAAGACCATTCCATAAAACTATCCTGTTTTATATGCAGCATAAACATAAGTCCAAGCACCTTCTAATTCAGTATATGGTAATTTGGCATCAAGAGCATTTGATGGTTTAATAACATCATAAGTACTAAATTCATAATTTCCTAGAGTTAAAAAAGCTGTTAAAACTCTATCTCCTAACTCACTTTTGTCTTAATCTTCTTTATTAGATGAGAATCTAAAGATATTATGTCTCTCTTATCTTTCAGTAAGTGTTGTTGGGAACGAAATCAACCATCTTGTCCAAACTCCTATTGAATACTCATCAACAGATTCAACTTCAGTAGTGAATATTTAAGTGATTGTTTTCTCTGTTTCTACAATTGTTTCTTCTTTGTAGAACCACATGTATTTCTAATTAGTTGCTAGAGCTCTATAATTTGGTAAAGTATCTTCATAACCTCTCTTTTATATGCTAACAAATGCACCTTATCCATATTGGGCTACCCACTTTTAAAGTTCTCCTTAGAATCTTTTTGAGAAAGGGTCTTTTGCAACATATATTCCTGTATAATGTGGTACATAATGTTAAACTCCCTTGAAAATAAGTGGTTTGTCTTCATCAAATAAATGTAATAATGCATGAACCTCTTATATATCTTCATTATAACCCATATAAATGTAAATCCAAGCTTTTCTATTATGACCCAGATCCACTTTCTCTTCTAAAAACTTAGCTTCATTCCAATCTTTTAATCCATGAATTGTATAAGTTGATAACTTCAATGAATCAACACAAACAGAGACATGAAGTATTCTATCTCCCTAAGTTCTCTTATCATTTAAATGTTCTTTATCATTATTAGTAACTCTCAATAGAATCTAACAATCATTTGAACTTAATCCCTTTAATTCTGCTATTTTGAACCATCCACTAACTGAATATTCTCCAACTGTCGACCAAGTATCACCTCTTAATTCTGTTCCTCCTACTTCATCAGTCACTGTTTCCAATTTACCTATCAATTCTTATTATCCATGCTTCTCTTTATGAATATACTCCACACTCAACTATTAATCTAAAGTCATAGAATTCTCTATCATTTTCCTTACTTCCTCAACTAATCCCAAAAATGACCCAAATCCAAAATTCACTGTCATTTTACTAATTAAACCCTAAAATCCAGGAATATCTGGTTCACCACCAATATGTAAAATAACAAAATCTCCCAAAGGTTTATGAAGCAAATCTTAATTCTTAATTTATTGAATATCTTTTCCATCATATACAATATATGAACCCACTTAGCTAGATCTCTAATAAGCCATGTAAATGTAATTCCATTAACCTTCTAATTTTTAATAAGCTATTGTTCTTAATTCATTTGGAGCATCATCATTCAAATCATAAGTTGAAAATTAATAATGACCTTATACCACATGAGCTGCCAAAATCCTATCTCCCATTGCTACTTTACCTATTTCTATTTATTCATTTGATGTCAATCTTACCAATTACATTTCTTAACCCAATCTATATAATCTTTCTGGCCATGCTTATAAAAATCTGCACCAAAATCCAATACTGTATTCTTACATTGACTCAATCGGTTTATCTGGCTCATCTATTAATTTCACTGTCTAACCCTGACCAAGAACTAACTTACCAGCACTTTCCCAATTGTTCTTCTTCTCTTAAGAAAATAATTTTGGTGATAACAAATATACTGACAATTACAAAAAGTTCTCTTTCCTAAAAGAACCTTCACCCAAATTCAATGTTAATTATGCCACTCTACTGTTAAAATTCTCCAATATACCATCTCTACCCACATACAACCAAAATTTAGAAGATACTGCATGAAGAATCGGCTCCAATCCCTTATTCTCATGGTTATCAGCCTTCAAATAGTATTGCACTTTTCTTTCCTTTTTAGAATATCCAAAATAAGCAAAGGTCCAAATTTCAAGTTGCTGTTTTGGAATATTGCATTCAAAAGGAACACTCATTACAGATTCCTATAAGGTATAAGTACTAAATAAAGCAGTTCCTATGTGGGCTAACATTAATACTTTATCCCCTATGTTCTTGGCATCATTTTCAGCTCTGTTTTGAGAAAGTCTATAAATCACTTAGTTTGGTTTGACTGGTGTCTTAAACCATCTGAACCAGAGTTAGATTGAATATTCTCTAGCTTCTTATTCAATAATCATAGGATTGTCAATTTTAAGTTTTTAAGCATCCTATTTACCAACAAACACCTCATAAGTCTTAGGAAGTGATAGAATGTCAGGTTTTGGATCTTTATTCTTGATTCTAGCTAAGATGCCTGCTGTATTTTCAATAAAAGCTCCAGGTCCCAAATTAAATCTCACTGTAGTTATTTAACCATTAAAGTTGGGATAATACCTACCTGCATGTCCAATTGTTAGTTATAAATAGTTTTAGAGTAAATTATGCAATACATCCATCTATATTCCAGGTGTTATATCCCCATAAGAAGTGAAAGCCACTGCGTGTCCTAGGGTTTAAGAAATTCTCTTGTAACTAAAATAAATGTAAGTCCATTCGCTCTCTGATTCCATTGCACAAGGTATATTACCATTAACATTATTTGATGCTGGTTGGACATTGTATGTAGAGAAATGGTAAACATTTTTGCCCATTAAGATTAAGAGAACTCTGTCTCCTGGTTAATCAAAATCTTTGTAATCTTTTTGACTGGTCAGTCTTGCCATACCCATCCACTATGGTTATTAGTAAAGAACACCCTTATTTGCAAAATGTTAGAATCTTGCCCAAAATCCATAACCATATTCACTCACCCCTTAAAGATTTAATTTTTCACTCTATTCGAATTAGACATGCAAAGGAACTTCCTTCCCATTCGCTGAACATTCTAAAATCTATTCATCATGATGAGCTTCCTATCCTGCCTACTACAATTTTATGTGATCAGTTCCACTTATAAATCCGAAGTGTACTTTTATATTTTCATCGCTCTCGAATTCACCTTCTCTATAAGATCCTTCTCCAATATTTATTACCCATGTTTTCATTTGTCCCAAAAACTTCTCTTACTCACTTCCTATAATTATACTAAAAACTGCCATATAAAAATGATTCACATCATTCAACAAAAACTTATCATCACTAAATGTATATTTAATATAGCCAAATGCCTTCTTTAATACACTTGAATAACCAAAATATGCATATGTCCATTAATCCCAATATTCACCAAATTACTATTCTTTATTTATTATTTATGAACAATCCTCACCTTTGCAAGAATAAGTTGAGTAAATAAATGATAAATCAGATCTAACTATCTTCAAAGTTTCTTCATTTTTTCCATCCAAGTCTTCTAATCTCTTTTGAGCCATCGTGATAATGTGGAAAATCTTTCCTAATTTTTATTAACCACTCCATTTAACCCAACCAGAAATAGCATATTCTGAAGCTCCTTAATATTTATCAAATTAGAATTTGTTTGATGGTTCATTCACAGGTGTTCCAATTAATTATTAGGTTTATCTGGAAACTGGATGAATTTAAGCTTTTTCTGGAAGTGTATTTTGTGTATATAATTTTAAACTATCAGCACTTGAAATAAATGCTCCTGGTCCTATTGAACATTATATTTTAGTCATTTAACCATTGAAAAATGGAGCCTATGATTTGCCTACTACAAACTCAACATATTCCAAAATGTAATCATGAAATATATCAAAAGAAACTTCCTTAATCTCTCCATCTACTCCAAATTAGACATATCCTCTTGCTGTGCCTTTATCTCCAAATCTTTTATATCCAAAGTAAATGTAATTCCACCAACCTTCTAATTTTGTGAAAGATATTTCATCTTTGGCATTATAAGTATAGAATTCATATGCTTCTTTGTTGAGAGTCACAGCCAAAGTTTAATCCTTTGGTGTTTATGGTCTTGTATTTGCTCGTTATAATTTACCATCCACTGATTCAATTAAATAAGGTTATGTACCAAATCTAGCAATATTGTGAACTGCTCCTCGTTAAACTAAATATTTAGGCATTGTGCTCAACCACCTTGTCCACATTCCAAATGAATATTCACTTTGACCATTTATTCTTAATTTTGAGTCGTCATGAATCATAATCTTATCTACTAATGAATTTGCTGCATCATAGAAACAATCTTTTACTATATTTGGTTCTAATGCATCATCTTTATATGAAATTGGCTTCACCAATTAAAAGACAGCCATAGCACCATCTCCGTATTAAAACTATTAACCAAAATTAAGTGCCTATCTATATGCCCCTGGCCCTAGGTATACTCCCACATACCCAATTTTGCCATTAAATGGTGATATCTAATCATCTCCTCCTAAAGTAAAGAACAATTTTGTTATCAATTTGTGTTGAATTGGATCAAATAAGATCTCATCAGATTTTCCTGGTCTTATCAATGCTCCATAAACTTTCATTTTATCATTGTCGTAAGCCATATAACCATATTGCCATATATAATTAGGAGATTAAACTGTTTTCGATAAATATATCGATCCTTTTGCTTTGTTTCCTTCTATAGTATATGTATTAAAGTATACAGAACTCTTAGATCCTCCTCCATAAATATAATGCATTTCTAGAGATCTATCTCCTAATATTCCTTTTCCTTATGATTTCTTTTCGTTTGATCTTAAATTAAAAATTTAGAAAGTATTTTCACTATCAACTTTCAAATCATCAATCCATCTAAACCATGTTGCAACGCTGTATTCTTCTATTATTAATTAAGATTCTTAAGGATCTAAGACAACAGAATCACCTGCTGTATTAGCATTAAATAATTTTGGAGTCGTTAATACTTCTAGATCTATGAGGCTTGCAACTTGTTATGGAACATTTGAAATAGACTTAATAATTTCTCTAGCTTTAGCTTCTGTATCTACAAATGCTGGAGCATCAATATCGTAAAAGATATTTGCAAATTATCCATTCAATCCTTCATATGTCATGTGCTTTCCACCAACAATTAGTTTAAAGTATTAAGGAGGAACATGTCGGCATTAAATTTCAGCTTTTAAAACCTTGTTATTGTCTCCATAACCAATAACAAAACCAACAGCTGCCTTTTTGGCAGTACTGTAAGAGAATGTGATAAAATACCACATGCTATCTAAATCTTCATTTAAAGCCACAACCTAATCTTTGACTTTTTTCTTTTCTTAATGATCATATGTTGAAAAAACAAAAGAATTTTCTATCATAAATATAGTTAATGTTCTATCCCCATAATAAGTCAAGTCTTTATATTCCTAATTTGAAGTTAGTCGGGATAAAAAGTAGTATGTTTCTGGTTTCCTGACATGCTCTTTTGGTGCATTCGAAGTATATCTCATCCAAAAACCATATCCATATTCATCTGAATCTTGAAGAAGTTCTCTGTCTGCAAATTCATATTATTCAGCTACTTCTCCATCATAAGCTGATTTGATATATTTAGTTGAAACTGGAACAATCACCTTTTCTGTCTTTGGTCTGGTGTTAACTTTGTGTTTTGGTGGCTCATACTAAGTTGGTTCATTAGGATTGAATTCTTCTTTCAAAGATTAAATTTTTAAAGATTTCTCCTTCTCGTCCTTCACTTCGATTTATTTTTTCTCAAAACCGATATTATCTATTTTGACTTTTTCTTCTTTAACAAGATCATTAACTAAGTTACCTAAATTTTCTTTTGGTAAATCTTCTTATTTCTATTCCTTTTGTTCATTATTTTAATCCTATTTTTTTATTTGATCTTCGTTTAATTTTTTTGAGTCTGCTGAACTTTGACCCTCACTTTATTCATTTTACTTATTTTCAATACTTGTAGCTTAGCCTTATTTATCATTAGGCTTATCTTAATTAATTATAGGTTCCTCTTTATTTTCTGAACTTTCTTTTTATTATTTCGTTTAAGCAACTTCTTTCTATTCATTTTCTTAGACTTTTTATTCTTATTTATTAGTTGCATCTTATCCACCTACTTGTTCAGTTGGTAATGATTTCTCATCTGTTACACTATCTAACAAATCATCAAATTAAGAATCTTAAATTATAAGAGATTTTTTTTATTCTGAATTCATCATATTTACCTAATGATAAGCGTTACTTTCTGGATTATATTCATAATAAATTATTTAATCTCCCTCTATTTCATAGTAGATATATTCTTAATCTTTCTCTTATTCGGGATCTTCTATTATGTCACTTATCTGATCTTCATAATTATTAAGGTTTTCTTCTGAAACTTATTCATTTACTTATTAAGCATCATCTTAATAATCTCCATCTTTTTCATAAATATATTAATCATTAGAATCATCATATGCAATTTATTCATTTTGATTATCCTCTTCAGGATTGTCTTAATTATCATTTTATTCAATGTCAAGATCAATTTACTAGTCTCCTATAGAATTTAGGAAGTAAGCTTTTGTTTTTGGTATTTATGAACTTGTTTAGGAAATAATTTTCATATTTCCATCAGAATCTACTGAGTATTCAGTTGTTTCTTCAAAAGAAATTTCCTCCCAAGATTCTTCTCCATCTTCTGTCTTCACAACCTTTTTATTTGATTTACTACTGCTTGATCCCTCAGAAACTTTAGAAGAAGACTATTTATTTCCAACTGTCGATGAGGATTGTTTGATATTTTAACTCTAAGAGACTCCTGTTGAAGATTTTTAACTTGAACCACTGGAGCCCTTAGAATTGCTTGAACTACTACTTGAAATTCCTTAAGTACTTGAACTACTACTTGAGATTCCTTAAGTGCTTGAACTACTGCTCGAACTACTTCTTGAACTACTGCTAGAACTACTACTTGAACTGCTAGCATTTGAACCACTTTTTGAACTGATAGTTTAACTGCTGCTTGAAATGCCTTTTGAATTTGAATTAGAAGCCGATGATTATTCTTTTGATTCAGCTTCTGAATATTTTGAACTTAATCTATCTGCTACAGATTGACTAATCTTTGATTTACTTTAAGCCTCTTACTCTCCTTATTTTTGGGTAGTTTTAATAGAAGTGCTTTATTAAATACTCTATTCAGTACCTCCAGATGAGCTAGAGGCCTTAGATGAACTAGAGGCCTTAGATGTACTAGATGAGCTTGATGAACTTGATGAACTAGTTGAGCTTGATGAACCTGATGAACTAGATGAGCTTGAGGAACTGGATGCTTTTGATTAAGATGATGACCCATATGCTCCAACTTATTTTTTAGTAATTCTGACTCTTCTTCTAACCATTTTTTTCACTTTTCTAACGCCTCCTTTGCCATCTGGTTCTTCTACTTCAACTTATTCAAATATATCTTCTTCACTTGCATCATCTCCATATCTAGGAGGTTTATAATCTGATGAAGTAGAATCTTATTCTGAAGATTTACTGGATGTTGATGAACTACTTCCAGCAGCCTTACTTGATGTACTACTAAT